TGTGTGTGTGTGTGTGTGTGTGTGTGTGTGTGTGTGTGTGTGTGTGTATTCCTAAGTGAACACTTGAAAAACATAACAGTTTTTATTCGGGATTTACTTCTAGAAATAAATTCCAGTTGTTCTACTTACCAACTGTGTGACCTCAGGCAAGCTGCCTCCCTTTTCTGGGTTTCAGATTCTTCATCTGTAAAATGAGGGGCTTGGACTATGTAAATCTATGAATTCTCTTCTAGCTCTAAATTCTCTTATGCTGGCATCCTGTAAAATGGGCGAATAATAGCACCCACCTCACAGGATTACTATGAGGATCAAATGAGGAAACAAGAGAACGGACATTTATTAAAGCCCTACTATGTGCCAGGCACTATACTAAGCATTTTATAAATATAACCTCATTTGATCCTCATAATACCCTGTGAAGTAGGTATTATTAATATCTCCAATTTACAGTTTAGAAAACTGAAGCAGAGATAATATACATAGAGCTTTGCAAGCCTTAAAGGGCTATAGATAACTGCTAGCTATTATTATTATTATTATTATCATTATACTGTGATTTCCCATTTTCTAGTAAACATGCAGGATTAGAAGCTTTCTATATATGTATGCATGCCACATAGTCTGTGTATTCTTGGGGTGTTTATGTTATGTGTATGTAGGGATACTGGTATTTTTAGTTTGGGGAGGGTATTCATGGGTATCTGAGGAAATGTGTAATAAATTTATTTTCATAAGATCTAGAATTAGTGAAATCAATCCATAAACATTCATTAACCACCTATCACATGCCTGGCATTGTGCTAAGATGAGGATGTCACACTCCCTACCTTTAAGACACTCATGAAAATCATAGTTACAGGACTGGAAGAGACCTTAAAAGTCAACTCCTAGGCCAGTTGCTCATTTTATAGATAAAGAAATTGAGGTCCAGCAGGGTGTAGATACTTACCTAAGCCCACAGAAGTGTTAAATGGTCAAAGAAGGACTCTAGTTCCATTGTACCTTTTTTTTCAGGAAAAAAAGGGATTTATTCAAGTAAGTATAAATAGAGAATCAGAATAGGGAACCCATGACAATCTGGGACCATCCCTTCCTTTACAGTTGGCCTTCCTTTCCTTAACCCTCCCAACTTGAAGATTACCAAAGACAGGACTTGATAGAAGTGGGGCCCTATGTTAAAAGGAGGTGGGCAACTCCCTTGGCATCCACTGTATGTTGACCCCAATATGGTGATGCCATTTTGGTCCTCTTCGAGAATGAAGACAACAACCTAACCTCCCCCACGATGCCACTTTTTAGTAAACTAAATGTAGTGCCCGCCATTCTCCTCCCCACCCTCTGCCCCAACTTCCCCATGCTTTCTTTGTAAAGATTTGAGGAAGATGAGCAGGGTAGACCAGAGAGGGGTAGAGGAAAGATGAGCATGGAAACCAATGAACCCTCTTGCTTGGTGGGCTGGCAGCTGTAGAATGTAAGAACAAAACCATTTCAAAAACAAAGCCAACAAAACATGTTGAGAGGTAGATTATGAACCACTTCTCACTCTAACTTAAATCTAAAAAGGGAAACCTCGCATATTGCTCATTTGTTTTCTTGAAAAGGAATCAACTGAAAGAATTCTTAACAATTAAGGAAACTATAGAAAAAACAGTTGGGATTAAGTGCCCTCTGCTGGCCTTTGTGAGTTTTACCTTCATAAGGTTTCAGAGTATGTCCTGGTGTTTAAGAAAAGACCTCTGAGGTTGAGTGTATGTCTTTCCCTCATCTATCCACCTAAACGCATCTGTGCTCTCCACTCCCTCCCTTCCACGTTGATTCTTGGAATAAGATTCATCTTACAGGTATATTTTCCATCCACTCAATTCCCATTTTGGGAAATAGACTAAGGAAAGTGATTATTATTATCTGTAAGTGACAAGTTGGGATATCTGCATGGGTGATTATTGTCTCGTGTTGGAAGGATTCTTAGATGCCTGCTTCCCCTGTGCTAGTCACCTCCTCTGGGAAGGGATATTAAGTGGTTATGACTTCAGAACATGCTGGCCAGCATATCTATCCATTGAAAGTCACCATCTTTCAATTCTGGCTACAAAACGAGCCAGATTATAACATCCCTAGAGTTGGGAGCAGGAGAGGAGACCAAAAAGAAAAATTATTTTTCAGTAAACAGATTTACAAGGATTACATTTCCCTCTGAGTTCAGTTTTATAGACTATACAGGAAGTGTACAGCAGTAAACAACCTTTAAATTACCATTGCTCCTATTTATGATCAGTCAATTCTCCCCATCCAATGGAGAGTTGTGTGATTATCTGCACTCTGCTGATATCTGTGGAGAGCCTCTCTTTGAGGTCTAGTGTACGTCTTTTCTGTTTGTGTCTTCCTAAGTAGGCCCACAGGATAAAAGAATCATGTATTGTAAATTGGAAGGTACCTTAGCAGTCAAGCAATCAAACAAGCATTTATTAAGCACCTACTATAGACCATGCACCAGGAGTGCAAAGACAAGAGTGAAATCCCTGTACTCAAGTGGTTGACATTCTAATGGGGAAGACAGTGTGCAAATATGTAGCTATATACAAGACACACATAAAGCAGATACAAGGCATCCTTGAAGGGGGAGCCTCAAGTCCCTGGGAGGAGGGAGGGAGGGAAACCAGGGAAAGTCTCATGCAGATGAGGTAGAGCTTGAGCTGAATCTGAAAGGAAGCCAGGGATCCCAAGAGGTGGAGGAGGCCATTCTAGGCATGTTTGGAATATGTTGAGTTTGAGATGGTTATGGAAGAAGCAGTTTGAAACATCCAATAGGCAGTTGATTAAATGCTGGACTGGAGCTCTGGAGAGAGGCTAGGGTTGGAGGCACACATCTTTGAGTCATCTGCATAAAGAATGAGATTGTTAAATGATACTATAAAACAAGAACCAAGAAGAGGCCCCAGAATAGAGCCTTGGGGCTATGCTTACAATTAGTGAGTATGACATGGACAATGATACAGCAAAGGAGACTGAGGAGCAGTCAGACAGGTAGGAGGAGGACCAGGGGAGATCTCACGAAAACCCAGAGAGGAGAGAGCATCCAAGAGAAGAAGGTATTCAATAGTGTCAAATGCCACACAGACATCAAGAAGGATGGATTGAGAAAAGGTCATTAGATTTGGCATTTAAGAGATCATTGGTAATTTTGGAGAGAATGGTTTCTATGGAATGATTAGATCAGAATCAAGATTGTGGAAGACTTAGAACAGAGAGAAGAAGAAATGGAGGCAATGAGTAGGCAAGTTTTTCTAGGAATTTGAGAAAGTAAGAGATATGGGATGATAGCTTGAAGGGGTGGTAAGATCTAATGAGTGTTTCTTTTTAAGGATAGGGAAGACTTGGGAGTATTTTGGAAGCAATGGAGAAGGAACCAGGAGATAGGGAGAGACTGAAGATTAGATGGAGAGTGGACATGACAGTGGAGAAGACAGGAAGGAGAGCATGGGATCAAGGAAATATGTGGATGAGCTCTCTGTCCTTAGGAGAAGGGTCACCTCTACATCAGAGATTGGAACAGTGGAGAACTTAGTGAGGTATGGTGTCAAAGGACTGTGAGATGAAGCGGAGAGATTGAGAGGGAACTCCCAGCAAATTGCCTCAACTTTCTGGACAAGGTATGCTGCAAGATTCTCAGTTGAGAGGTTTGGAAGAGGGTATTTATGGGAAACTCAATAAGCAAAGAGAAGGCTTGGGATAGCTACCATGGTTTGTAGGATAGAGGGTTTATTAGAGTATAGTAAAAGGTTGCCTTGCTACAGTGAGGACCCAGTTAAGATTAGATGACATAATTTTAGGGAGCAGATTATTAAATTTTGGTGGCGGGCATTTATACCTCAGAAATTAGCAAACGCCATAAAACAGGGCTTGAGTTATTGTTTTGTTGACTGTCTAGACTTAAGAAAGTGATGGAGAAAATGTTAATAAATGAAGATTAAACATTAAAAAAGAGATTAGATGACATAAATTTGCAGTGGGGTCAGTCAGATGGACTTCCTCCAGGTCTGCTCAGCAGCATATGAATAGTAGTAAAGGAGGAAGATTATGGGAGTAATCTAAGGTTAGGAATGGGCAAAGTGTGTGTCAGGCAATAGAATGGGGAGGCCGGAATTAATCCAGACTCATTGGTGACGTGGCTAAATTAACGAGTGGAGCTTCCGTTTCATTGATTCTGGCTGGTCAGTCCTACCAGGTCTACTTCCAGCCAGCCATGGAATCAAGAGCTCATCGGAGCTCAACTCGTACAGAAGAGGGACAAAACCAGAGACTGTTGTTGGGATCTGAAAACCCTACTTTGCTGCTGGGGCTCTATAGTATACTCCTCAAGGGAAAGTGGTCCTGGGGAAGTCATTTGTTTCTGTGAGAAGTTTGAAAACCCCCCATTTCTGGAAGTAAACAATCTATGCTTTCTAGACTAACTAACACTTCTTCTGCTTCACAACATTCCTAAACCTCTGCCCAAACTTTTAGTGGGGACGTGTGATTTC